AWCAAAYTCTTTCAACAAAACTTCACTTTATWATCCATAAAATAATGCTATGATTTACACATTTCTTGGTCCCAAATTTATGGCAGGTTTTTCCCTAATAATGATAATCTGATTTCACATTAGGAAATYTACTTTATGACGTAGAATATTGCCAGGGTAAGACTGTATTTTGGTGGAAAAAGGGAGACAAAGGCATTGAAATGTAGACAAATTGTTGCATTATTTCCTAGATTGGCTACTGCTATTTCCTCTTCATAGTTTTCCCAAAGGAATTTTAACCTACCCAGAATCTTGCAACTGGAATCATTCACACATAATCCTTCTCGGCGTTTCACTTCCACCTTTACTCTTTCCAATGGTTTGCAGTACACCACCGCATCACATTACTTACAATTTCCCTCAGTTACATTTTCAGTTTATMTTTTAGAAAGTTTGGCTACATAACCTTGAAGGCACATCACATGATTGACAAGAGACAACTGTATAAAATCTTCAGAATACAGATTTAAGGACTGAWACGTTTGCATCCAACTTGTTCTTATAGCTTTTGCATTTTGGTAGGGAGATACTACAGGCTACACAGTTTTACAGATATTATATAAATTACAAGCTAAAGCTGATATTTTTTGAACCATGTGAGGGTGAAGTCAAACTTACCTTTCCCGCTTCTGCATCACTATAGGTCAGRATAGAACTTGTGGAAAGAAATGGCTGGCAGTGTTTTGCACATATGTCTTGGAAAAGCTAAGTCACCACTGGCAGAGAACTATTTTGAGTTCAATAATACACACCATTTTCCAAGTACTATACWTGTGGCCCTGTGAACTGACATGTAACAGTTGTGTATTGCTGATTTTCATTACTTGTACAATATATCAAATATATGTGTCTGCACTATTTTCACTAGTTTCATATTTATGCTAAAGATTCTGCTCAAAGGCACAAGCAAATTCTGTATCACAATAAGAGAGCTTTAATCAATTTAGGCATCCAGTAGATAGTGAAGCTACTTGAAAAGTGACTTCCTACGTACCTTCCTAAATATTTGACATCTTTTAAATTTACTACAGAATGGAAGCTTTCCTCTAGAATTTCCCCCTCCTTACTGCAATAACAATCTCAAGCTCCTTAGAGGAAAGAAATATCAATCGTCTGTGTTGCATTAAGTGGTTCTGCYTTATTACAATTCCAGGAAGAAAGGCACTCAGCCTAGGTAAAGTTCTGTTAAAATGCTATTTATTTGAGCTAAGACTAGAAAGAAAAAAGATGGTGTCGATAACCTTCTGTCCCTTCAGATGTTGGAAATCCCAAACTGTGTGGAATTGAAGAGGACTTCATCAGCCACATCATGCTCTGTAAGTCCCATCCACAGAAGGTTACCCCAGTTTGGAAGGTTACCTCAACTTGAGCTCTTAAATGATTTTCTTACAAAAAACAACTCTGTACATCATTTATACTGATAAATTCAGCATTTTATATTGAATAAGAGGGACATTCACATGGGAACTTGCTGCTGAAGTTTCAGATAAAGGCAATGATGTGCAAGTGGTGTAGCCAGGAGCTGCMTGGAAGCCCCTCTGTTACAATCCCCTGGCCAAGGTGATCCTGTGGCCAAGGGACACGGGCACAGGTCTGCCTCAGCTGGGTCACACATGCATTTCTACCTCCTTGAAGTACAGTGGTCCCCCAGTGAGGATCACTACAGCATCCAGCACTTCAGTRGGATGTAAATGCTTTACACTGAGTTTAAATTATAGGGCTGTAAGAAAAGCCRATCAAATTGCATACCTGTCAGCACCACTGTGTGTTCTCCACCACAAGCAACCTTATTAACCTTCTCCACAATTCCCAGTACAGGCTGTGGGACTCTGTTGTTCTTCAGCTGTTCAGGCAATAATCCCAATTTTCCATTTGCTGCTTCTCCAAAAGTATAGAGCTCACCATCTGCTGTGAAAATACAGAACAGAGAATGGTTTCCAGCATGCACTCAGGAGCAAGGACGCATTGTCAAGACTGTTGCATAAAGCAGAAAAGTATGTGAACACTACAGGATAGCTGAATATATTTGTATAATGCCCAAGCTGTGAAAAACATTCTGTTTTGATGGGACATGAGGGTGCTAGATTTAGCCCCCTTCMAGTTCAGAATCACTACATATAGCCTGTGAGGAATGTAGCCAAGGGAAAAACAAAACCATATACATCCTGCTTCTGAGAGGTGGTAATACCCTCTTGAATCAGTATTTAAGTCAACTGAAGTTGCTTGCAAGAATCTCAACTTATTGAAACAGAAAATAATTTTSCATGGAATTCTGATAGAAAATCAACCTGCTCAACCTAGATCATCTCTGAGCACATGGTACAGGATTGTGTCCAGAAATGTCTGGAATATTTCCACAAAGGAAGACTCCACACTCTCTTTGGAYAACCTGTCCCAGTGCTCAGTCATTGCACAGTGAATGTCTTCCTTATGTTCAGGTGAACTTTCTGGGCATCAGTTTCTGCCTGTTCCCCTTGTCCCACTGCTGGGCACTACGGAACAGAGCCTGGTCCATGCTCTGATCCCTCCCTACAGACACTGACAGGGATGAGGTTTCCTCTCAGCCTTGTCTTCTCAAAGCTTTTTTAAATTCTTCTACACTCGTTTTCAAATAGTTTTTTTTTTTTTTGCAGTCCTTTCAATCTGTGTTTTTTAAGAACCAGGGAATTACATCAGCTGCAAAAAGTATATTTAATTTAATTTCCAACCTATGGACCCCATTTAGGCTTTGCTGTTCTGTTTCATTTCCTGTTTTAATTCTGATTTTTTTCTTACATCTATGTGCAGAAATACTCTGAACAGGATAATACTTTATAGATAATTGTAGCAGCATCAATTTTCTGTTATAAAACAGTAGCCCAATTTAAAAGAGAAAAACCAACTGCAATGTGAGGTTTTCTGTAACAAAAACATTCTGCTGACAAAAAGAGATTTTATTAGGCCTTTTCAGTGAAAAGAAGTACAAAAACCAAGGAAAAGAACCCTGTATTTTTTGGAAGGTAAGTATTATTTCAATACTATTAGATCAGCCATATATTTTCACAAAAAAGTTGAAAACCCCCAAAAGCACTAGGGAGATAACTACTTACACAGCTCTCTTTGAAGAGACCAGCAGTTCTTTTTAAACACTATTGCACTGAAAAATTAATCCAATCACTATCTAATTAATAGGATTAGAGATTCAAATGGCCAAGCTTCCCAAACTAATCAAGTTTATTACATTTTTTCAACTTAATAATCCAGCTAACAAAGATAAAACCATTTACCAAAGCAATTTTTGAATACATTACACATCCCTTTAAGGCAAATAGTGGTCTAAAAACTATGAAAAATAGCAGTGAAGCATAAAAAGAACCCAGTCAAAGCCAGATAAATTTTGAGAGCAGGATGTGTGCAGTTCATCTGCATGCTGAGGACRTGATGTACTGTGTGCAGTACACCTGCATTTTAAGGACATTCTGTTCACAACAGAACCTGGTTATTTAATTTTCTCCTCTCAAATGAGTCACACTCTCACATGTTGAACTTTCCCTAATGTGGCACATTTTCTATATCACTAAACTAAATCACACAAGCATGTCAAGGAAATGGACAAGTGAATGGAAAATTTCCCTCAAAGGAAAATGTGCATCTGAGATTAGATAAGAGACCTGGCTGGTGGCAAATGAGGGACAAAAATGAGTGGACAAAATAATTGGATAACTGTATGATTCCTTGAATAAATRAAGGAGAAAAAGAAAAATATTTATTCAAGACAAATTGGTTAAAGCTGTTTCAAACACTGAAATTTAGAGCATGGAAGTGTTTGTGGGATGAATGATGCTTAAAACCAGTCCTTAAAAATAATGACAAAATACATTTAAAAAAGGAATTCAAGGAACCTGCAAAGCTCTCTATGAAAAGATACCTTCTCAATAAGAATCTATCTTGACCTTGATTACAGTTACAATTCAGGCAGGGGTGTCATGGTTTTACTTGGTCCGATTTTTTGGTGGTGGGGGGATGGGATCAAGAAACCACAAAGATGGCTCCTGTGAGAAGTTCTAGAAACTGTMTYCTTCTTCTCTCCAGCAAAAGGAGTCCTGCCCCCTGTGTTTTAGAGCCAATCCATCATGGCTCTGAGGGTGATGGACAGGCTGACCATCAGGCCTGGGCCAATTGMACAGGTTGGTTACACCTCTGTGATGACGTATTAGTTAGTATTTAAGAAGAATTCAAAAAAAAGGTAGGGGTGGCCGCCATTTTGTAGCTTTAGGTTGTTARTATGTAGTTTTAGTTTCAAGCACTGGGGAAAAACAGAGCAGGAGGGTGAGGAGATGTAAGAAGAAAAAAAATGRAGACCAAAGATCAATAAGGAGAAGATGGGATTGGCTTGCTGTGCTTTTTGCTGTGGTTCTCGAGCATGGAGAAGATAAGTTGTTCTCGAAAAGGACTATTTCATCATTGAGAGAGACCTGAATAGGAAAAAAGAGAGCGACCTTGCTCTGAGGAAAAAAAACCTGGCCTTTGAGGACTGGACTAAACAGCCAAAAAAGGGGAAAGAGGCTTGGCCCCCCCCTCACGACATCTGAAGTAAGTGGATGCTTAGAAGAAGCTGTGCTCTGCCAGGAGGTTTGTGATAGTTGGTCTCACGCTGCTGAAACAATGCAGTTTGGCCTTGAAGGACATTCTTTCTTTTCTCCTAYGAGGTAAAGGAATCCTCCCTTGCTATTAGCAGTTATGCATTGACTRTTCTTAGAAAATAAAACTTCCACAGCGTGGAGCTGTARGAACACTTCTCCTATGGTGCTGGACGACAACCGTAATGAGTGGTTTGATCTGTGTTAGACTTTCATTCCTGTCCCGTGTGTGCGGAAAAACATGGCGAGGGAGAGGGAGGATCTGGGAAARAGACGGATCCCCGGAAAGGATAACAGGTGTCTTAAAATGTCCGGTTTTTATTTTTCTTCTCCTTGTAAGCTTCTCCCTCTCTCTCCGTTTTTTTCTCCCCRGTGCCGTAGTATTCTTAGTAGTTTGTAGTAATAAATCTATTTTGCAACTTAAGTTAHTCAGCCTGTCTGACTATTCTTTGGAACACATACGTATCTTTCTCTCAATTACGTTATGTTATCTGAAAGCCATAAATTTTCTTGTTAATTGGGCTTTCTGTTCTCCCTTCTCCCTCTCCGGTGGGGGGAAGGGAGATAACGTCCTGGGTGCAGTGCTTTTGGCTTTAGCACAGTCTAAACCACGACACTTTTCTGGTGCGTTGGCCGGGAAATTGGGAAAAATCAGGTTTTAAACCCACGACAAAGGGAAACACTAAAAGTGGTCTAATATATGCAATTTCTTTCTGGCTCCACAAATCTAATTCTGTTGTAGAACCCAGAGCAGTGGTGAGATACATCAGCTTTTCCCACTCTCCACCTCCTCCAGTGGGCAAATGAGCTTGCCAAGCTTAATGCTTCCTGAAAAATTGCCCCCTCCTGAGTGTGTGGTCACAGGAAAGTCAAGTAAAGATCTGTATAAGGGCTCAAAATTGTTCTTATAGCCTTCCACAGTTTGTTTTTCTGTTGCTTTGCTTGAGACATAGCCCTAATACTGGGACCCAATGTCCCAAGCCTGCAAAATGTAAGGAAAGGAAGGACACTGTGAAAAAATGCTCAAGAGAGCTGGAAGCTAAAGACTAATGACTTGTTCTTGGTGGAACTCTTTGAAGAAAGCCAGCAAAAGGGAAAGGGAGCAAACAMCCATCTTTCAAATACGAACTGAGTAATCAGACTAGCCCCTAATTTGCATATGGAATTGAGTTAGCCATTGCCTGTGCATGTGCCTAGTCTAAATTTCAGAAGAGTTTTTTTTAATTAAAAATATTCAGGATTTATTCTGTTTTTATTCTACAACTACTTTGGCATCAGTGGGGTCCACGTGGACATGGTAGAATACAGGTGAGTGACATGTTCAGCAGCTAAATTATTGTCTGCAAAGAAGGCCWTCTGGAAAGCAGATGTAAGAAAGATAGCATCATCTTTTTGAAACTAGAGATAAGAGACATTGCTCTTGGCTTTAGRGCAGTTAAACACCTTAAAGATAAAGCCTACTAAAAAAATCTTTTAAAACCCAGCTATATCAAAAAAAGAGAACTTCAGTTAAAAAAAGAAAAAAAAAACCAGCTGGAATCCATACTTCACCACTTTTTTATTCAATAGTCTCTTATTAATGAACATCCTGCCCTGGAGAGGGCACTCTGTGTCCACACTACGTTTTCTAGCACCCTCATTAGCCACCTTTTCGTTTTAACCCAGATATGCCTGTGATCCCAACAGTTTGCTCAGCCAGTGCACACTTTATGTCAAACACAAACATATTAAGAAAGGGAGCCATATGGTGCCACACTCATCAGCACAGCCTGACAGCATCTACCAAGTCTGAGATACTGAAACCATGTTACATTATTAAATATAGGGTACTATTTGATGTCTACAAATCAAAATGTAGTARTTCTATAGTATTCTAATAACTGATAAGTAACACATCCTGTGACTGYGGTACACTCAGAATAAAAGCATAAAGTTTGTTTTTAAACACTGTCTGCATACACATGGACAGTAGTGTAACAGAAGATAAATTCAGCAAAAGTACTTGGATGACCAATACTAAATTTTTATGGTTGCTGAAGTATCAGTCAAATAAACCTATCAGCCAGGACCCAAAGGAAGGTAATAAAAAGATTTATKCTTTCACCACAAGAAGTTCCATGTGTGTATCAGTAGCTTCAATGACTGAACCCAATTTGTGCAGGACTTGCAGATATTAAGGCTGAAAATTAAGATTTTCCATCTCATATTCAGCCTGTTCAATAGGAACAGGTTCAACAATTCCTCATTTTCACAGGTGATAACCAATACATCTTTCCATTAGTATTTCCATTAGTGCTCCATTTTTCTTAACCAGCTGCAACCCTAAGCCTTTTTTTCTTAACCCCTTGCATTAAAAATTTCCACTTCCTTAGGGCACTCAGCACACACTGTTCTCCCTTTACTCTTAGATGCTTGTCCTCAGCCCTTCTACTAATGAGAGTTTTTGTGAYATCCCACTCCACTCCTGGAGCTTCAGCTCTTGGCATTAAGGCAGAGATACACACATTCCTACTACACCCTTGAAGTAAGAATCCTTTTCCCCCCCCATTTATTCTGAGTTCAGGAAGCTGTGTTTTTCCTAACAGGTGCTGAGCTCCTGATCAGTCTCAGACACTTAATTCATTTGCTGTAATAAAGCATCTGTAATAAAAGTTGCACACTACCAGAATAACAGCCTATTAATATTTGTCCACTGTAGCAAGCTCTCATTCTGTTAACAGCATGTTCTTGGAGCAATATAGATATTGTATGTGGAAAAGTAGCATTTATCAAGTAATCTGGGAAAGGTAGCTGATGGAATAGCTCCTGGGTACCCACTAAAAGCTTTACTGTCAAAACTATTGATCCTTTGAAATCTTTAATTACTCTGAGGGGACCAAACAGTAAAGTTTAATAATGTAAATCCATATGGCTGAGAGGAATTCATAGCTGCTCATACATAGTATCATCAATTCATCCATACTGGCATTATTAAAAWATGAGTGGAATCTTCACTCTGGAARCCAGTGGAGAGTTGGGAAGAGAGAGGTGGAAAGCAATGGGGTKGTGTGTTTGTGGTTTGGAAATCAGACAACAGCTCACTGCAGCATTGCTTCTCCTCATGCCATCTACTGCCTGTTCAACTGACTTCAAAACTTTTAACACAGAACAACAAACCTTCTTGCACTTCTAACACATAGATTGTTTTTTTCTCATAACATAGCAACTCAGTTTGATATTTATATTTCTTGAAAAGATGAGAATTATTATTTGATCACCAAAAAAAAAAAGAATAATCTCAAGAAAAGTTGGATTTTTGGAACCATAGTATTAATCCACAGTATATGTCATAACCTTTATTAAAACAAACTGTGATATTTCATTATTTCTAATATACTTTTGCACAATAATGTGCAAATGCAGAAAATTAAYTGCAGTTTTTTCTTCCAATGTGGCTTTCTGTCACACAGCAGTTTTTAACAACTATGGTGTATTAAATTTSAAACAACTATTTGAAAACCACTATCTTGTCTCCACTAATCCCTATTCCCATTCTCTTACCTGTTATCAAGGCAGAGTGATAATATCCACAGGATACAGAGGAAATGGGTTTTCCAACATCCACTTTACAGGGAACACTGACAGAGGCTTCATTAGCCAGGCCAATCTGACCYTCTGAATTATCACCCCACACAAAGAGCTGCCCATCCTCTAAAATAAAGACATGGATAGTTAATAGATTAAAAAAAACCAAAAAACCAAAAAACCAAACAAAACACTAATTAAAAGTTAATCTATTTATTGAAGAGTATTTCAGAAACTCTGAGTATGATACTACTGAATGTCATGATCTCAGGGACACAAAATTGTAATATAGCACAATGCCAAAAGGAGTCAGAAATAAGAARGTATTCCTTAAGCTTTTCAAAAGTGACACAGAACACTTATGCATCAACTGATGTTAACCATAAATACAAACAGAAAAAGTACTATGTAAAAAAAAATTCCTTCTGAAAGGGGAAGATTGAGTGTGTGAGATTCAGTTGCCAGAAATCAGTACGAAAATATTACAGTGAATTTAAGGCATCTCATTTCTAGGTGCAAGCYACCCCTTTCCCATTCTTCCAGACTTATTCCCTGTTCTGATTTTGGTAGACATCCCACTTATTTATGCCTTATCTTTCAGCTCTCCTCACAGGTGGTTATATTGCCCAGGTTCATTTTGTTTTCCTTAAACTACTATGAYAGCTGTTCCACATTTATTAAGACCAGCTTCTATTGAAACAAAGACCAATGGCAACAGTAAAATAAAAAATAAAAAAMMAMMAMMAAAAAAAAGGAATAAYATGAAAAGTCCCTAGATTCTTCTAGAAGAGACAAGGTCTCCTCTGCATATTTCTTATTGGTGGGAAATGAATAGTGAATAAAAAAGTACCATGTACAATGCTACTGAGATGATGTTAGGAGCTAAAATAATTCAAAATTATCCTAAAAATCTCAGGAGCATGTCAGCAAATGGCACAAAAATCAAAAACTAAACAAGCAGGCTAGCATCTCTCACATGTTCTAAAATTAAAGCCTCAATAACTTACCCTAAATATGTACAGAAACAGCAGCTTTATAGCAAGACTCAAGAAATTGCATTATAGGGTAATGAAGAATCACCCATTCTTTATAGACTTTATATAATGTGGTATAAATTTGGCACTTAAGAAACAGGGGAGAGGCTCAGCCTCTCCCAGAATTAGTCAGGAAAGGCCCAGATGTGCAGCCTGTACCAACAGAGAATAAGAGTTGCAGTAAGAAGTGGAATTAGAGATAATTGATTTTCATAAGATTCATGTTTTGYAGCTGCCTTCCCTGGAAATCAAACTGCAGATCTTTTCCATTTTCATTGTATTCATACTGTTCCTCCTTTGTAAGGATTTCTACTAAAATARTCCAGACTGAGCTCCCACTGTAGGCCATTGATCATGGAAAAGGTCTACTTTCACAAAAACTGTAAGAAGTTAATGAGACACACACCCCTTACCAGACTGTGTTAAAACAGGCAATTGGCTGTCCAAACATGACTGTGGTTACCAAGGGAAGAAGACAGTGAGGATCAAAAATGTACCCACRTACACAGTCTGCTGGAATAAATGTCTTTCTGGAACACCAGGCTGGACACACATAAATAGATTTTACCAGCAGTTGCTCTTACCAGTTACTGCTGCTGAGGTGTATGATCCAGCTGATAGTTGCTTGATCTTGTGCTGGTTGGTAAAAAACCTAATTAAATGAAATGTGGTCCTTTCCTCTGTRTCACCTAATCCCAACTGACCTTCACTGTTTCCTCCAGCAGCATAGACATTTCCTCTTTCTGAATACAGAAAAGCACATGTAATACACAATGAACAAACCAGAGCAAATAATTTAATTTTCAATGGAAAAAAACATCACAGAAATGTTGGGGTCTATTGCCCTGAAATATCCTCCAGCTGAAATCAACAGTTTTTGTTGCAGTTAGCAAGGTTTTCCTGCACACACTTGGATCAGAACTTCCTAAAGGCCTTACATGTATTTAGACTGCATTCCCCACTATTCTGGGGAATGATCAAAAAAATAAATATGATTGGAAGTTCTGCAAAAGCTCTGAGAAAATGACTACATGGTAGYCCTGGCAGCCAGAAGCAGCTCTTTCCACAAATAATGTATATTTAAAGATAAGCAGGAGGAAAAGAGTGAATGAGAAAAAAACCTGAAGCTGTATTAGTACGTAAATTGAAGAGATTTATAACTTGAYAGTTTTGAGTATTGTGAATGAAATGTATTTTTCTTAACTTTTTATTAGAAATATTTTACTTATTTTAATATTTAARTAACTTCCAATTTAATCATCCAGATATTTTGTTTTACAATCTTGATGACAGGTATCTTCAACTTTAAAAAAAACTTTAAGATTTATATTTTTAATTTTAGTATGTTGCACATCTAAAGTGCTCATCTGTGATGAAACAGATATGGCCTATTATTAACRCAAACTCAGACAGAAATGTGATAAATAAACTGACATATAATTTATAAATAGTCCTTGCTATATAAATGGCCACAAATCATCTAGCCAGTGTGTATGCCAAAGGTAACTAATATGTACCCTATGCAGTCTTGCATACTCGATTGTTATTAAAATGTTCTGTTTTATTCTAACAATCTTATTTACAGTACTCAGGGTCTCCATATATATAAACCTCCTAATAATCAAACAATTTTCTTTATAATATTATTGAAAACTAAAGGAATGCAACCACAAAGATAGCTATTTCATKATATAAATTATAGAAGCATGACAAGAACCCACATAAATTCTCTGTATACTGTCTCTCTACAAATTTATTTTTAAGCTTAAATTTGYAGTTTATTTATTTATAGCTTAATAAAGCAACTTGTCATTGAAACAGTAGATTATGCTGTCTAACCAAAAATGCAACAAAATTCAAAGACTTGAAAACATTCAGTTCTACTATATTTATTCAAATATATAYCTTCACACTAACAAAGATTATTTATTAAAGGTAAATTTAAGTACAGAAAAATATACAGATATAAAAAGAAYAATCTATCTTTACAGGCTTAAGTGAAATATTAGTAAATGTTAACCACACCTCAAATGCCAGCAAGAAATTTTTCCATGTATCTATTACTAGGAAACTACTATAWAACATTAGTTTATAAATTCATTGACTCAGAATAAATCAAACAATTCTAAAAAACTGGATATCAACCCCCTAAGCAGTCCTATTTTTATATCTTTTTCCTTCCTCTGTACTCCTGGGGTTCCTAATGYAATTTGGCATGAAAGCAAAGGAAGCAACATATCTTTAATATGTAYGAAATAGAGGTTACATACCTGTGTAAACTAAAGTGTGGTTTCTTCCACAAACAGCAAGTTTTGGTTTTTCTGGTTTTAAAGCTATGAATTGAAACCAAAGAGGAGGAAAAGTTACAAAGAAGCTGGTAGMTGGTTCAATTACAAAATGCTATATGCTCTAGAGGGAGCTCTGATTTCTTTTTTCCACATTTTTACCAACAGAATGATTACGAGATTCATTGCCCATTTGAATCTAGCACGACTTACCAAATCAGTATTCCCCCAAGACAAGAAAACAGGTCAGACATTAAAAACTTAAAACAYTCCAGTTAACTTGATGATGGTTACTTCATCCCAATGCCACAGTCCCTGGAATTTACTATTTATGGGATATGCCTCAAAGAATRTATCAAGTTGCAGGATAAGATTAATGATTTAAGCTGTCTTCAGTTTTCAATAACAATACTATTCTTAGTTTCCTCTTACATTTGCCCCACTATTGAAAATCTTTGAAACCATATTGTTCCTTTGTCTTTCCATCCCTACCTCCCTTCCTTGTGCTCACATCCCTTTTCTGCTCTGTTCTGATCTCTTCCTGATCACTGAACTCAAYTGCAAAGGGCAGCCCTACCTGGACTAGTGCCTACATTTTTTTCATRTGTCATCCTGTCTCAATTTCAGATGAGTTACCACAAATAAGACTGCCATTACATGCATTTCTCTGCAGTCTGGGCACGTTGAAAGACTGGGAATGTATGTGATGGAAGTCAAGAGTTATTTTGGTGGGAGAGAGAATACAGAGGTTCTTCTTCTCCCATGACAAGTGCTCTCCATTTCAGACAAAGAGAGGAAAACAGTATCCCTGACTTTTCCATCCTTGTTACAGTATTGTTCTTGTCAACAAATTATTTTCTCTCAGTCATGCCCATGTACCCTTTATAATGCTCTAAAACCAGCAYTATTTTTACATAATAAATCTTTAATTGCTTTTCCACTGCACTAGGCCATGACAAAGCCAACAACAATCATCCCTTTCACAAACCCTTTTTCAGTCCTTCCGGATCAGCTTTCATCAGCTCTTTAATATTCAGATTAAAGTTCCATCCAGCAAGTCACCAAATAAATCTCTACTRAAGCATAAACTGCCTCTGGTCTATCACACAGACCTAAATTGTCCAAATTCAGCTTCCTGCCTCTCCTATCCAACACCTTACTCTACCATCAGATTGGAACCATAACAGTTCCAATGGTGACTTCCTCCTACACTTTTTATATCCCAAAACTCTCCTACACTCTTTATATCCCAAAACTCTGTGTTCAACTTCAGAGATTATCTTAACCAGCTCTTCAGAAGCCTGTGCTTCCTAATCTGTATTTTATGAGATATGCTGTTTACAATGCTGCGGGTGATTTTTCATAACCAATTTCATTAGTCTCTAATCAAGTCCCAGAAATAACTTTCTCAGAAAACATGGAGTCACAACTATTTGGCTCCATGCAGAAACTGAAATGTGTCATTGCAACCCCATTCCCCAAGACAAATAATGACTAAAGGCTAGTGGGAAAAGCTCCAGGACTTCCTCCTGCTGCCTATTGCCAGGAGAAAAAAGATACCCTTTATAACCTTTTTCAATGGATGCCAGGTCTGGTTCGAATTGCTGTCATCTTCCCTTCATCTTTAATTCTCCATTGCTAKTTGACAGTAAACCCAAAACTAGAAACCAAATCCATTTAAGCCAAGGTAAGAATCAATCTCACACATGGCTGACAGAAGCTGTGAACCTGAGAGTTGCATTCTCCCTCTGAAGTGAAGGACAGTAGAAWAAACTAAATCAGGAAGAACAGAATTTGAACAAGCACGATAATTTGCTTTTAACAATAAGCTAACAGATCGATCTGCTGGCAGAATAGTGAAGATAAACATTTAATGGTGAAAAGCAATGTGTTAATGGGATAGATCTGACTTGACATAAATAAGGAGATAGGGAAAAGTATTGACTTAGCTTTGTTTGACAAGATAAAAACAGCTAGGAAAGATCAAGAAGAGCACAGTGCAATGAAAATATTTTCCAACACACGAAAGAATGCAGGAATTTATTTTACTGCCTCATAAAAATGTATTAACATTCATGCCCTCTTGGGCATTTCTTTCTTACACTTGTTAAAAATGTAGCAGTACTTGTGAAAAGTTTCTGAKAGATTTTTTTCATTTGCAAAGTTGYTAAGACAATAGTGACACAGAGGATACACCATGCTGTACACCAGGAACTCTGGTTTCCAACACATAGACAATGCAGARACCAAGCATCTGATTATTGCCTGCAGAAAAAAATGAAGATGTGGTTTCTCAGAAAAGACAAATATAGCACAAAAAATCAGAGCCTTCAAAAATGACAGGATTCTATGTATCTGAAGTAATCTTTAGATGCAAAAGGACTCAGAATCTCAAGTGATRGAAAATCAATCAGGCATCCTTTCGAGCTACCTTCATGATCTTGTGCAGTAATGATTACATGTGATGAGTAAAGATGGTAGAATCAGTTATTTTGGAATTGCATTCCATGAAGTACCTTTTCACAAGGGTCTCCTTTCAAAAAGACCAAAAAAAAAAAAAAAAAAAAAAAAAAAAAAAAAAAAAAAAAAAAAAAAAAAAAAAAAAATAAAGAAAATAGAGAAATCAAACAAACCTTTAACACACGTTGGTTTGCTGACAGTGTTCTTTGATCCCAGTCCTAATTGGCCCCAGTCGTTACTGCCGAACATGTATAGTTTACCTTTCCCTGAAAAAAATCAAAGACAGAATCCATACAAGTGTTTGAATACCTCATTCAAGACAAGACGGTCATTCACTGACAATGCTATTTATTGCTTCATTTTAAACATAAGGTTTAAGTTTAGGCAATTCAATCCATAAGYGTAAACAATAATTAATATCCTCATGATTTTTCAGTTCAAAAAGAGTAATTGCCCTGTTTAACTAAGAAATCCCCAGCCAGAAGAAGAAACATGCTTGTCTTTAATGACAGCACAGAGGAAATGCTCTTCAGAAAACAAGATGTTGTACTCTTGGACAGATTCTGCAGTTCAGGAACCACAGTATCTATAGGYCCCCTTATGAAATAACAGAACATTTAACTATGTACCCACATCTTTTACCCCAAAGACAGGAAAAATTTAATCTCATTTTTTTAACTACTTCGCAATGCTGTAAAGTTTCTACTGGGAAAAAAACCCTTGTTCCAACAGAAATCCTTGCAAAACAAAATAAACTGATTGGTCAAAAAAAAACCCAACCAAAACCAACCAAACTCACAACAAAACACCTGCCCCAAACCCCCACCCTTTTACAACTGTTAAAAGGAGTTYGTTTACTTTAGATAAAGGTCTGGGGAGCTTTGTGCATTAGACTCCATCATAATATTGTCACCCTAAATAGAAATTTGGTCATGGAATTTGTCTCCCTAGCGACCCACAATTATCACACGATCACAATGCAAAATAGCAATTCCATATAATAATACCAGAATAATATGGCTGTTTGGAACTTCAGCATCGTAGGTTCCCAATAAAAGTTCTAAATGTAATTTATGGATACTTTGAAATGTGGTATTGAAATGTTTTAAATATAGCAACAAAATCCTATTCTAATAAAAATATCTATATATTTTCCTAAATATAACCACATATTTTTTTAAAAACATGAACCATTGTTTAACAATAACCAGTATCTAAAATCCCAAACAAATTKTAAGATTTCACAATTCTTGGCACATGGGGCTATGTGTCAATATTATGACTTTCCAAGAAAGCTGGAAGGGAAGAAAGTCTGAGGTCAAGTTCATGCTCACAGTGTTCTACTAACAACATTTATATCTCTATCCTAATTTTGATAATGCAATCATGTCAAACACATGCARTGCTGTCCCTGACAGCAAACACACCTTAATGGAAAGGATTTTTATCAGCAAATTACATCTATCCTATATTGGTATTGCTTCCTTGTATCCTTGCTTTACACTTTCTGCTTTCCTAAGACAGCAGTAGTTCTGTGGGARTATGATGCCAAGCTGCCCTAATTCAATTTAAGCACTTTCTCTTTTATCCATGCAAAATTCAAACAGGTCATGCTTTTCATCCTATAATCTGCTGGGGTTTATATCAGTCTTTAAATTCTCAGGCATTGCTTTGTAAGTCAAGGAGCTTAATAGATGAGAGGAATTTTTTCATATTCTTTTACAACTGAGTGACAGTCTTTTTAATTTCAGKTTTTCTAGGAGTATAACTGAAAAGAAAAAAATCTGGCAAGTAGTTAATTCAGGCAGAGAATGAGAATTAACAGGCACTAGAGAGGAACCTAAACAAATGCCTGTAATGAAATAACATTTCTCAGTCTGCATAGCAAATCAAGCTTTGGAAGAGACATGATTCAATCTTAGCTGTCCAAGAAATCCAATATAATTTTGCATGCAAAAGGCACTATTTTCAAAACTGCATGCTGAGATATCCCAGCCATCACACAGGTGCACTGAATCCAACAGCAAACAAAATGGCAAGGATCAGATTTCAAAATTTCATAAACTCAGATTGCTGTTGGTTTTTTTGCTTCCACTTTGGTGCTGTCATCCAGATGTGGCCATCTGCCAGGTGGAATTGCTTGCACAGGRCAGGTCCAGCAGAATAAGATTATGACTGGCCAGAAGGGAAACAACAGAATATAATGAAAAGGTCTACTCAGACTGTTTGGTGATGAAAACACACTTTCAACAGCAGTCTCCACCTTTACCCTGATGCAAAACTGGAGTATTTCTCCCAAGTATGTTTTCTCTGGCAGGCACACCAGCACATTTCACCAACAGTTATTCAGGGATACCACAGAAGCCAAAAGACACTTTCATGTTTAGCAACASAGGTTTTATGGGACACTTCAGTAAGACAGCATCTCCTACCTCAATTCTTGTGAATAGTTGCTATCACAGCTGTATTTCCTGGCACCCTACCATTCATGTGCACCTCTGGTTCATTAGGTGCTTTTAAAGGCATTCAKTGAGCAGCTGGAAAATACCAGCTGAAATCCCATATGTTTTGTCATAGCAGGATGCCAAGTATTCTAATCACCTACATTTAAAGGTATGTWTTACATATTCTCCTTGTTTTCTAAATTATATTAGTGAGGGAGAGAAATAAGATGGGGAGATGATGTACAGACTTTGAGYATTTACAACAATTTCCTACCAAGAAACTAGATCTGAATAAAATATAAAATATGTACAGAGTATCATATGCCAAGGCACCATGATAATTTTTTAAAATTATTTTTATTTGAGTTATTTAGTGAATAAACTATGTTAACARTAATTTAAAACTTATATACAAGTCAAATAGATCCCAGGAAAAKAGGAATGACATCAGTTTTGTTAGGCAAGTCATGATATTCTCAAAAACTTTATTGAGTAACAGGAACAGTCATGCTTAGGACATTTGGCATCACACAAACAAACCAGCACAGTGTGTTGCTTGCTCACACACACCAACACAAATGTGTACTAATCTTTCTCATCCTCCCCTTACAGTTGAGGCTAAAGATCCTGTGCCATGTTCTGATGATCTGCTCGTAAACAGGTAACAAAACACCTGGAGAGATTCCAAGGTCTCTTTGTTGAATGTTTAATGCCTTACAAAACCTGAAATTTTGAGTATACTATATTCTTGTGGTTTCATATGCATCTCTTTTGACTCCCACTTTTACAATTGATATTTCTTTCTTTCCTTCTGCCTTCTTGTGTTGGGGGCTTCAATTCTCTGCAGAGCACTGAGTTCAGAAAAGGTGTCTTCATTCATCAGCATTTCCCCCTTGTGAACAGGATCGGTGTCTTTGATTAARTGTGGTTAAGCTGCCTAGGATACTCTAATCAAGGCAAATAAACAATAAGACAGCTGTTAACTTCAAGAGTTTTGCAGGAAAGAAAATTTAATAGGTGTTGGAAGGAGATTCTTAAAAGTACGCATATCATCAGTTCTTCACAGCAGCTTCCATGAGAATGAATTAATTTTTTTTCCCAAAGCCTGCAGTTATGGAAGATGGAGGGAATGGACTGTCATTATTCTTGGGCCAAAAAAAGTAAAGAAATGAGGCAAGAACCATTATTAAACATTTTACAAGTGATGCTGGAATATATACTATTCATGACTGCATTAAAGACCAAAAGAAGACCACTGCTTAAAAAAATTCCTGCTTGGAATATTTTAGTCAAGGTTATGCCAATGGTAGACAGCAAAAGAATTATGAAACACAAATTTCAATACTWAACTTCCTTCCTGGTGCAGGAAACATTTTTTCAACTAGCTCAACAAGCCAACTCAAAGTCAGCAAGTAACTATCACAGGTCTTTTCTATTCCAACATACAGACATAGCATGTAAATAAAATTTTGGATTATTAACTCCCAACCTAGAAAGGCAAAGGATGGAGTGCTTTATACTTCCTTTACATTTGTCTTTATAAAAGTCATATGGGACTATTGATGCTGGATTAGATGAAAGAAGTAGTTGAAAGGTTCTGAATATTTTGTTTGAATGCTAAATATTTGTTCTTATACACTTTCTTCATTAGTATTCAGTCAACATTTGGTGCTASATGTAGCTGTTTCTCCTGCCCAAATCCAGCATTAAGGAGTGATTTGTAGCAGTTTGGGTGACTGATTTACTTACGATCACTTTGGGTGACTGTTAAGATATGTTAGTGTAAAACTGGTATTTCTATGTTTTAATCTATCTCATATTCCCAGTGTCCCCTACAAATATAGCCCTGGCTTCCTCTTTCAAGGTGTGGAAAAAAAAAGTGTGTGGGGGAAAATTTGTGACATGTAAATAAAGACTGAAAATAAAATGAAGCATGCATTCACACACACCTGCTTGAGATAHTTTTCCTTCCTCTGTGATGTTTGTCTTTTTTTTCTTCCAGGTCAGGTTCGGCTGAAGAAGCTCCTGGTTTCCCACAAGGTCTGCACCCTTCTCAGTAAACTCATCTCATTATCAACATGCACTTCTGGAGCGTTTATTCCAGGTGTTACTGCAGCTCAGGGTCATTCACCAAGGGCTTAATTTCACTGTCTCATCCAACTCCATCTAACTGCAGAAATGTGAGGTGCACATGGACATGCACAGGTGTGAAGAATAAAAGAGGGACAAGTGCTTTTTCTTTCTCTTCTTCACTTGTTTTGCAAGACTTGCAGTTTTTCTACCTTTGCTTGTTGTTGATCTATACTTTACCCTCACTTTTGTCTTTACTTACAATGACCAAAAAGACCTTTTGCTACCAAAGTCTTTTTCTCATGCTTCTACAGTTCTTGCTCTGCAAAAATTTTGAGGAAATAAAGATCTGATTATCTAGAAGCTTCCCTGCTGATGTACCTGCCCCCTACAACACCTAGGCAAGCTACAGAGACATTTTTGAAACAAACAGCATATACTAAAATAATGGAGAGAAGGGGAAATAGCACAGAAATGGTGTGGCATGAAAAACTATGCAAGCTAAYTTCTTCAAAAGCTTTATTTAAGTGGTCACTATTACAGTGATGTGGGAATTAGGGGATTGTGGCTGACTGGGGTAACAGTGCTGGCACAGGCACATGCTGTGARGAAATTTAAATTGACTGGCTTAAACATAGAACTATACCTGTGTTATTTCAAACTGGGTGTCRACATATAAAAGTATATATAAAAAGAAAATGCTTAAGGAAAATGCCACAGTGCCCCAGGCTACATCCAGTTTAATTTTATGYAACAGGTAATTTAATATCAGTGGTTCAATCCAAGAAAAAGTGTCAGGCTTTGTTCAAAATAAACTATTAATGTATAATTAGTTTTCTGTGAAGTTAGGCTTGAAAAATTYATCATATAATTTCACCCAAGTGAAACCTGAGTGAACTCAGGGTGTTCTTCAGTCTACTAAATCTACAGCCTTTTTTATCATGCCTGGAATACTTTTTTCTAAAACTCCAGCATCTTCAATTTTGCTTGTGAACATTGCAAGAAACCCACAGGAAATTATTTAATAAGCAATGAYCAATGGGATATTGATGAGGAATAACTACTTTCAAATTTAAAAAGTACTGAAAACACGCATATAATTTTTTCAACAGCAAAATCTTATTATCTGTCAGCAGTTGATTGTCAACACAATTAGCACACRTGCTCATCAACAGAAAAGTAGTCCCTTTCATTTAAAATAAATCGAACAAATTCTTTAATGAGTAYTGTTTCTATCATTTCAAAGAGAAGAAAAAGGCACTAACTATGCTTCYTCTATTACACTGGAGTTTCTTTGAATGCTTTTCCCATTGATTTCTGATTTTTGTAGGATTTTCTGAAGTTTATTGAGTTGCTCTTGAAAGGGTTATTTTCATCYGAGAGTTAACAGTAATTCCAATCTTCATTAAAGAGATACAATTCTATTTATTGTTTCAAGCAGATTTATAGTGAAATTGTGGTGTTCAACAGACAGTGTTACTTCTAAGATACAATATATCTAACATACTAAACATTGTCAGGTTTATGAGAAACATTCAGCCTGAACAAAGTTATGCTTGCTTTAAATCCTGTGATACACTCAGTTATTACAATATCCTTCAAGACAGTTTTTGGGCATATCTGGTAAAAACCTGGAGTGAGCTCACACTAACTCCAAAGGCATCCAACAGTTCCCACAGAACAGTCCTGTCTCCCCTCCCAAACTTCAATTAATATATTACCTCAAGATGCARATAAGATCCCTGACTTTCAAAGGTGTCCAATAATATCACGTTTTATCACACAGATCAGCCTCACTACAAGAAAGACATTGAGGGGCTGGAATGTGTCCAGAGAAAGGTCTGGAGCACAAGTCCTATCTGGGGAGAAAAGGAGGCTCAGAGAAGACCTTATCACTTCTCAAAGGAAGTTRTAGCCAGGTGGGGGTCAGCTGCTTCTCCCACATAACAAGCAGCAGGATGAGAAGAAAAGGCCTMAAGCTGTGCCAGGGAAGGTTTAGACTGGACATTGGGAAAAATTTCTACATGGAACAGGACGCCCAGGAAAGTGGCTGAGTCACCATGCCTGGAGGTGTTTAAAAGATGTGTGGATGTGGCACTTGSGTGTATGGTTTRGRGGTGGACTTGGTGGTGCTGGGTTAATRGGCAGACTTGATCTTAAAGTTYTTTTCCAACCTAAACAATTCTGATACCATATCCTCCCTTTCCAATACTGACCTGTAATAATAGCTGTATGTTCATCTCCGCATGATATAAGTACAGGCTTGTCATTTTTGAACCAGAACTTGCTAGGAATATCTTCTGCAAATTTGCTTTTCCCAAATGTGAAAACAGCACCTGATTCTAAAACACAAAAAGATAAGTGTCAATTTTAGTGAAAGCAAATTTTGCCTCACATATTTTGAAATAGCCATGTTCTATCAATGCAATCACACACTTTATTTTCTTATCTTTCYCTTCTTTCTTCTCTCAGCCTTCAAAACATGGATTTTTCTCTCATCCTTCAAAACAGGGTYATTTCACCTGAACAAGAGGAATAATTTCTCTCCTGTGCAAGTAGCAGAGCACTGGAACAGGCTGCCCAGAGAAACTGGAGTCTCCATCTCTGGAGATATTCAAAACCCACCTAGACATGATCCTGTGCAAGCTCCTCTGGGTGAGCCTGCTTTAGCAAGGGGGTTGGACTAAATGATCTCCAGAGGTTCCTTCCAACACCAACCATTCTACAATTCTGTGATAAGACCATGGCCTAAAATATCCAAACCAAACCACCCCAAAATAAGTCCAAGCAACTCTTCTGCCTTTGTAACCTGCCTGGTTTTCTCAATTTTTCCCACGTTCAAAAGTGCCAGCAACATTGTTTCACAACACAGAATGTTAAGTTTTCATTCACCTGTTGGTTAGGCATGTGACTTGACATAGAAATACTAATTCTACACAAAAATGAATGAACTTACAAGTGAAATAATTAGTCAAAATCCAGCAGACAATGTAGCAGGCACAATTAAACCTCCTATTTTAAAATGTCAAAACCTGTGTTTGTAAGTACAGAATCTTTTTAAAAACAAAAAAAAAGAACAAAACAAACCTTTTCCTTGTAAATTTYGTTAACATGTAACAAATGTTAAGATACAAACACAATAACAGACTTCTTCTGAAAATTACTTTTAGATACCATAGCACATCGACTTTCAATGAAAACAATCTCAATCAACAATATGCACCCCTTCTCCAAAACCCAAAACCACTCTCTTAGACTGTAAATTTCATATTAATTTGAAAATAATWATTTAATGCAAAAATTTCCCATATTTCCAAAGACATAATTTTATACATATGATGGAGCAGACATGTATTATGTCACTAGAYGTGTCTTTCACTTTTGCAACAAGCTTTGTGCAGACAAACTCRAGCTTTTTAAAGAGTTGAGTTTTTCCTTCTTTTATCTAGTCACACCTACAACTACAGATAAGCTAAACAGCATCTGAAAATGCTATTTTATTTTAAGTTTTAATCTCCAGTCAGACAGCCATGCACTTCTGAACTTGCTTAGTGATCTCTTTGGCACTTGTGCCTTAGAGCTCTCTGGTTCATTTATTTTCCCTTCAGAAGGGTTAGCATAGGGAAAACATAGGTATGTTCTTCATTTGATGCATACAAAAAGCTGACAAATTTTCCAACTTCCTTTGTATCTCATTCATTGGACTAAGGCATAACATTTCACAACTGGATACAACTACTGTGCCCAGTTCTGGCTCCTCAGTACAAGTGAGACATGCAGCTGATGAAGTGGGTCCAGAGGAGGGCAATGAGGATGACTGGGGCACAGGAGCATCTCTGTCTGAGGAAAGGCTGAGGGATTTGGGCCTGTTCACCCTCAAGGAGAGAGCTGAAAGGGAGGGGACCTTACTAATGTGTGTAAATATCTAAAGCAGGGGAATACCAAAAGGATGTAGCCAGGCTCTGCTTGGTGGTGCTGAGCAACAGSACAAGAGGCAACGGGCRGTAATGGATGCTCAGGAAGTTCCAGCTGAGCATGAGGAAGAAAYTCTTTCCTGTGCAGTGATTGTGCATGGTGTGGAGTCTTCTRCACTGGACCTATCCCTGAACYGKCTGGACACAATCCTGTGCCATGTGCTCTGGGATGACCCTGCTTGAACACGGACCAGATAACCCACGGTGGGTCCCTTCCAGCCTGACCCATTSGGTGATTCAGCGCTGCCATCAGTTTGAAACTGAATCCCATAGACTCAGTCAGTTAAATCCCACAGGACACACACGAGGCGTTTGTTGTCCCGGCAACGATCAAACGTTTAAACATTCCTTTGGGCCAAACCACGCAACAAAACAACTATAAACTCTCAGAAATAACCGCGAYCCCCCGAGTGCCCGGCGCTGCCCCCTGCCCCAGCCGCTGACCGGGCTGCCCCGTCCGAGCTCTGACGGCAGCGGACGCGTTTGTCCCCASACGCCGCAAGGCACGGCCCGGCGCGGGGCCCGCAGCCGGAGGGAGCGGGAGGAGCCCTGCGGGGGTGAAGCGGGCAGGGCCGGCACAGACAGACGCGTTCCCCCCGGGGTCCCTCCCCTGAGCGCGGCCGCACTCACCGGGCACGGGCAGCTCGGTCCCCGCGGCGGGCGCGGCCATGGCGGCCGGGAGGAGGCGGCGCCGCGCAGCCCTGGGCAGCGCCCCCTGGCGGCCGGCGGGAGCGGCTCCGGGCCCGGCCGAGCGCTGAGGGTGAGCGGTGCGGGGGGAGAGAGAGGCTTTGTGCGGGGTG